CTGCCCTCCTGAGTCTCACTAGGCTTCCCGTAAGCTCTCACCTGTCCCTGAGCAGCCATCAGTTGAACTCAACCTAAACGTGGAATGTTGCCCAACGCTCAGGGTTTGCCTAAAGGACCGTTCAGGCCAGCTAAGCCCAGCCCAATGCCCTCCTGTCCAAAATGCTCACATCTGTGGTTCTACACAACAAACCAGTTAGGCCTCATGGGGTTCAGCCAGCCCCCAAGATTCAGCCTTCTCAGGGGAGACTTGATGTGTTCATGCCTTCACACGCATGCACAGGCACACACACAAATCCTGGTTCTGCCCCTGCTGCCCTTTCGGGGAGGAGGGGGTCTCACCTCTGTAGGCCTTAGCTTCCTCACCTATAAGAAGGGATGATAATATTATATATTATAAGGGGATAAATATTAAATAAGAATATAGAAAAGTACTAAGCACTTGGCTCCCTTAATTATACTGATAGCTAACTTTCCTCAGGCACTTTCATCACAAAGTACTTTCACACATCCATTGTGAAATGAATAGGCAAATGACAGAATGAGGACAAGGAGAACAGGTATTATGGGGTCTGCTTTACAGAGGAGGCCAACAAGCCTTAGAAGGACAGTGACTCACCTCAGATTACGTAGTGAATCAGTGGCAGAGTTGAGAATCAGTCCTGGGGCTCTACTTAATCCAGAACTGTCTCAGCCCCGCCAAACGGTCCGGGTGCAGATTATAGAGAAACATGAATTAAGATCCAAATAAAACAAATGTGAAGACAGAGAAGGCAGGACCCAAGTGGAGAGTAACAGTCCAGGCTATAGAACAATGGCCCTTGCCTGAATGATCTAAGCTACCTGTCACTGCCAAGTCATTTAAAAATCAAACCGGGGTAAAGAACTTGGGACATGGGTGTCTTCAGGTGCTTCCCCCAAGAGATTACTCATCTCTTCAGTGAGAGAGGCCTCTGAATGCCTCACCTTGTCAGCATCTCTTTGTTTCTCTAGATGGGGGCAGGGAGGCAGAGGGGCACAATAAAACCTTCAGGTCCCCGCTGAGGCCCACACGGAACACAAAGTCCATATGTGGGTATCACAGATTATGAACCTTACTCACAGGCAAGACTCCTACTCAGAGTCTAAAACTCTTGGCTCAAAAATAATTCCAACCAATCTGATCAGTTTCTTAGTCCTGCTGGAGAAAAGGAACAAATTAGAACTGAATAGAAAAACTGCTTGCTACCTCCCCGGACACACAAATGTCACTTCGGGCTGCTCTCAGAGGGATGGACAAAGGAAAAAGAACAAACCAGAATTCAAAACAGGGCAACCTGGGGCACCTGGCATAGGGGCAAAGTGCTCCTGTAAAGCAGGAAGGTAATGCCCTGACTGAGCACAACTATAAGGACGATGATCCTGGCATCCAGAGGCGATTAAAGCATGCCAAGCATTTGTTTTTGTTGATAAAGGAAGGGGTATAAATATCTCAGTGAGTCCTGCTGAAAGTAAGAATACTTTTGAGGGTAATAAGGATTCTTTGCACACCAAAAAAACCTGGATACTAAGGACACCTCACTCCCAAGGGATTTCAAGAATCCAAAATTCTGCAACAACAGAAAAGATTCCTATATAAAATACTGCAGAAGTCAAAGCTTTTCATTAATTCTTTCCAGGCCCTTCTCCTTCCTAACCCCTCTCCCCACCAATCCGTGCTAATGAGGTTTTGTTGGACCCCATCCTGAGCCACAGGTAGAGACTTAAACCAGCTCCACCCTCCCCATGGAGCTGAAGCCAGGAGTGACATCACTTCTAGAAGGCTCTGAGCCTGAGCAGAGGCAGCCAGTGCCTCCCCCTCCACCTCCACCCACTCTGCCGGGCCATGGGGAAATGTCTCCACTAGCCCCCATAATTAAGGCAAAAGGGATTTTATGCCTTGCAAGAAAGAGACAAGAGAGAAAAACAGCAAATAACTATTCCAGAACAAGTAATTTTTCTTACATGGCAGAAACAAAGGGCCGCAGGAAACACAGATACACACACATACACAAACAGCGAAACCTTTTTAGACAAACCTGTTTTTGTCTCCTGGGAGTGGTTTTGAGCAAGCTCCTGCCCTAGCAGCCTCCCTGGCCTGTTCAGAGTCAAGCACCCAGGAGTCACTCCCTACCTTGCTGGTCCCTAGAGGGATTCTGACCTGCTTCCCACCAGGGCCAAGGCAAACCTTTGGACAAGGACAGATCTCTGCCATTCATGGGCACCTTCTCCTATTTTAATCAAATCCCAACTGCCTTATGCTTTTAGGGAAGGGGTAAAGGAGGGCTCTTTAGGACATACAATGCACCCTCCCCCCTTATGCAAACATGGGCATTCACTATAAGAGGGAGACAAGGAAGGGCTGGGAAACAGCAACAAACTAAACTTTATAAAATGAGAAAAAGCGGCTCAGCGCCTGTGGCTCAAGCGGCTAAGGCGCCAGCCACGTACACCTAAGGTGGCGGGTTCAAATCCCCAGCCCAGGCCCACCAAACAACAATAACGGCTGCAACCAAAAAATGGCCAGGCGTTGTGGCGGGCGCCTGTGGTCCCAGCTACTTGGGAGGCTGAGGCAGGAGACTCGCTTGAGCCCAGGAGTTGGAGGTTGCTGTGAGCTGTGATGCCATGGCACTCTACCCAGGGGGATAGCTTGAGGCTCTGCCTCAAAAAATAAATAAATAAATAAATAAATAAATAAAATAAAATAAAATGAGAAAAAGAACAAAGAATGCCCAAACTCCAAGTCAGAGTCTGACTCCAAAGCTCAAGACAGTGCTTTCAGGATGAGGTGGAGCATCCCCTCTTCTGGGAAGCCTCTCCCCTGCACTCTGGACCTTCCCTGAGACCTCTCTCCCTCCTTCCTTTCCCCCTGGAGATTCTCCTGCCTCCTAAGCCCTATGTCTCCGTAAAGTGTCAACATTTCTGGGCAAGAAATAATGCCTTGTACTGTAGCCTCTCACCCTATCCATCCCACAGAACTCCAGGAAACTAAAACTCTGACCTCACAGGAATGTCTGCCTCACACAAGGCAGGCAAAGGAACCACCAGCCCCTGATTCCTGCTGGAAATAAGTGGAATGCCCCACCCTGGCATCCCCTGCTCAGGCCCCATCTTGGGCCTGGAGAGAACAGAGCAGGGAGGTGATGCCAGGCAGGGCAGGATGGTAAGCCAAGCAACTCCACTGTCTTCTCCAGAGTCGTAACTGCAATTCCAGGCGCAATCTGAGTTCCACAGAAACCACAACCCTAAAGAGCAACTTCTTGGACTCAAAAGCCAGGAGTGCACTAGACACCCAGCTCAGAAATCACATCCCTCCCAGGGGCACTCCAGATGCATCACCCGGCAAGGTCCAACTCCCTAGCAATGCAATAGGCAGCAAGGACCTCCCCTGGTCTTCAAATGTGTGAAAGCTCAGGTTACCTGGTAAGCAAGGAAGAGAGTTTACATATCAGTCTCAAAAACAACAGTACCTACCTCCTCTCATGTGAGCCAAAGACCCCAAAGCTAGCTACTGTTACAGAGGGCATCACTCGCAGCAGGTCACTCGTCCAGATGTCACATTAGAAGCAGAGGACTGCCTGCCCACCCCCACCCCGCGGCAGAACTCCTGCCCTGCCCTCACGCCTCCCGTTGCCAGAGCTGGGGAAGTCTAGCTGTCCAGATGTGGTGGCGAGAGACCGCCACTTCCGGAAGGGGAAGAGCCCCTGGCTCCGTACCTCCCCTCCGCATCCCCAGAGATGGCCAGGCCATCCCGCCAGGAGGACCGCCCGGTGCGGGAGATTGGGGGGGTGGACGTGGGCACCCAACGGCCGGCGCTGACACCTGGCGGTGGCCCAGGTCCCAGACCCCGTTGGGGGCCGGCGCTGCGGGGCGGTTCCCAGGAAAGGGTTACAGGGGCCGAGAACAAAGCGCCCCCATTGGGAAAGGCGGGCTAGTGGACGTCGGCTGGCGCGGGAGATCCACTTTCTGGGACCCTCAGGCCGCTCTTTGTCGGCCACGTCCCACTTTTAAAGGGGACTGACCCCCGCCAAAGGTGGATGCTGCGTGCTACCCAAAAGGCTCCCCCCTCCTCGAGCTCCACATTTGTCCCTCCTTTCTCCCTAGCACTCCTGGGCGGGCCAAGGGACCCGCCTTCCCTCTTCGCGGCTTCAGCACAAAGCCGAGCCAGAGATGGGGAGGCCATGCCCGGGTCCACTCGCGTGGAAGGCGCTCGCGTGCCTCGGCCGTGTTCGGCACCAGAGCGCGCCCTCATGAGCCAGTTCAACTTCAGCAGTCCAGAAGTTGGGCTCCTCCGGGTCTCTAGCGTTCCTAGGCCAACTTCCCGGAACCTCCAGCTGCTAGCTCGGCCCAGATCACCTCCACCGGCCAGGCAAAGGCCGAGGGCCCTGCAGCCGTCCGCCCGCATACCCCACGCAGCCCTGGCCCGGCTCTCTGGGCCAACGCGCCCGCCCGCTCCCGCGCGGGTTACACTGCGCCCAAACTTGCCTCCGCGCGAGGGGCCGGCGCCGGGCTCCGCGGCGCTTGAGGAGCAAGCCCACGGGTCTGGTTTGAATTAGGTCTGCGGGAGGGGCGCTGTGGCCGCGATCACTGTATCCCCCGGGTCGCCGGCGGGAGCTCAGTGGTCGCGGTGGCCTGGTCGACGGGGGTGGGAGCTGGCAACCCCCGGCGCTGCCGTGGGCTGGCGGGCTCCGACACATGTGGAGACGTTTTACAAAATTGAGCGCTGGGCCCCGGCGCAGTCTCCGCTCCGCGGGACGCCTCAGCCCTCTACCCAGAACTGCGGGATCGGTGTGGCATCCACTGGCGGCGGAGGGAATTGGGGTAGAGCTCTCGTTTCGGGGCTCACGGTCCCTGGCCCTCTAGGCTAGCGCGGGAAGGAGGGAAGTCCCCGCTTCCCCTCCCCCTCCACGTGCCTCTGCCGGCATCTGCCGGCGGCTAGCCCCGGCTTCCCGCCGCCTCCTAGCCTGCCGGGGCCGCACTCACCGGGAGGGCTGGCTGCAGGCGCAGCGCCAGCGCGCAAACCCAGAGCCAGAGCGCCGCGCGCCTCATGCTGGCTGAACCGGCGGCTGGAGCTCGGCTGGCTGCGCTGGTCGGGGCTGAGGCCGGCTCCGCCGGTTGCTCTGCGCGATGCTCCCTCGGGCGCCTGCCCAGCGCTCTGCTGTCCTAAGCGAGGGCGTTACGGTACCCCGCTGGAGTTCGCTCTCTACTGCCAGATTCCTCTGCGCTCGGATGGGATCTGGCCCGCACCTCTCCAGCCGAGCTCCGCCTTATAATAAACCCACAGGCCCTTAGCCGTTGCAAAAACTAGCCCCCCACCCCCAGCTCCGCCAGGTCTCCAGGCCAGCCCCAGTCCCCACCCCCAGGACCCCGCCCCCCGAGCCTCCGAGAGCTGCCCGGCCCCTCAGAATGCCCCACCCCGGAACAAGCCCCGCCCAGGTCCCGCCCCCTGGAGTCGAACGGGCCGGGCTCCAGCAAGGTAGCGGCTGAGCTTCGCCCTCTTTCGGAACGGTGGTTCCCGCAAACTGTGGTTCCCGGCGTTTAAGTTCGGCTGCACCGGGGTGGTGAGGCGGGGTGTACCCACTTGCTCTCCGGCTCAGAGTATAGGGGCGCTGCCCGGGAGAAGGGCAGGAGGGGCAGGGTCCTCTGTGGGCGCGAGTCTGCAGCGCCCTCTGGACGTGAACCGGGAGCGCGCTCCAGGTGCGCGGGAGTCCCTGCTCTGGTTGGGATCGCTTTTCCCCGCTGTTTGGGGTCTCGCGACTATAGAGGCTGAAACGGATGGACCTCCATACACTCCCCGTCTCTCCCTCGGCCGCGGATGGGACTCTTATATACGTTGGCGTCCTCCTAGTCCTCCACAAAGTGCTGGAAACTTGGAGCCTTACTTTAGAAGGTCACGCTGGGGAAGAGCTGTTAAAGAATCCTCAGCGTCTTTCTATAGAAGACAATGCCCTCTCTTCATACTTGGAGCTAAAAGTTGAAATAAATAACTGCTTTGTTCAAACCGGGTGACCTCAGGCATGCTGATCTGAGAAGCCTCGATTGAGCTCCTGTTTCTTCAAGGTTCCCTGCCAGGCCCATCAGACACCTAAGTCCAATTAGGCTCTTGAAGGTCTGCAGGTGTGAGGGGAATGGCCGTGAGAGCAAAGGGGAAGAACTGGACGGGCCCTACCCACATCCTGGCAGGCAGGACAGATAGTGCCAAGGGACCTTCGAACCTGGACCTAGAGACCAAAGATGGCGTTTTCCTTACCCACCTTCCTCAGGCAGAGAACAAGAACTGAGTTGGTTGAACTGGGAGCCAAGGACTCCTAAGACTTCCTGGCCTCCCAGAAGTTTTCAGTATTTCTCTTCAAAAAGGACTAAATCTTCCTGGGTATGCAAGAAGGAACAATTGACACGGGCCCCTGGGTTCTCCTGCACACATGAAGCAAGTTTTCCTGGAGGGAAAGCAGCCTCCCTCCTGTCCCCGGCTCAGCCACATCCTCATCAGAGCACTAAAGGGGGAGGGACGTGTCTCAGACCAGCTTGTGCCCCTTCTCTCCAACACCTGTTTAACCTCTGCAGGAGTTCAAGGAGTTAAATGTGTTGTTTTAGAGGACCCTGACTGGTCTACCAGAGGCTGGCTCTGCAGGGCTGCTGAAGTCAGCTCTTCTGTCCTTCCAGCCCAATATGGTATGAAAACAGTCCATGTGGAATCTTACTGCTCAAAACAGAGAAAATTGAGGTCAAGGAGGGTTTGATGTGGTCTTTTCATTCTTTTTTTTTTTTTTTTTTTTTT